AAACTGGTGACATCTTGTCCCTGCACACCCGTCTTGGCTCCTCTCTTCCTCTTTACCCAGCCTCACTGGTCTCCTAGTTCTCGTCCTTATTTGAAATAAGAGCACATTAGCTACAGTTTGTCTTATTATATTTTAATTGGTTTGTTGTTTTCTGTTGTTTTCATTGTTTGCTAAGCACTGCGAAGGTAGGACATTTCATTTTGTATTAATAATGCCTAGATTAGTGTTAGCTATGGAATAAGACTGAATTTACTTCAACCACCATTTGTGGAAATAAAACCTTTTAATGTTAATACTGAAAATCAAGTTTAATTGGTGGTAAGGGTTCCTTCATGTCTTGAAAACAATATTCTTTTTGAAGGTCTTATTGGATTTACTGTCCCCTTTTAGGAATCTTGAACCTTTAAGGACATTACTGAGACATACCTCAAGCTTGAAATTAGTTAATAGTAGTTGTCATAGTAATGTATCAGTAACTGTTGTCCAACACTTATTAGTGGCAGGTGCTTTGTGGATATCACCACATTTAATTCCTAAAACACATCAATGGGCTGTCAACTTCTGATGGGTGTGAGGATTTTAAAATCAGGAAGTTTTTTGATAGTTTCCTTTTAAAGGGTAGAGCCTATTCTATTCCTCTTGAGTTGCCTTTGGAGACTCAATTCCAAAGGGCAAGATACAATGAAGAGGCAGTGTTTGGTGATCATGGTGAGATATTCAAATCTTTGGATCTTCCTTCCTGTACTCTAGCACTGGTCAGCCTGATGCTTAGTTTCCTCATCTTTGAGGGAAAAACTGGATATATCTCTGATGATATGTCCAGTTGTTCAGTAGGCCCATGCCAGCCAGTCATTTCAGTAGCAACATCAGGTAGGCTTCCTAGCAGTGGCAGGTACATCAGATGGGTTACTGTCCCATGATCTGAATGTTGTGCTGGATTCAGGCTGTCTTTGCTTCTTTTCTGGCTGCTATAATAAAATAGCCCAACAACATCAGTTTAAAGGGAGGAAACATTTCTTTTATCTCCCAGTTCAAGGGACTGTCCATCATGGAAGGGAAGCTAAGGCAACAGGAGTTGGAAGCAGATGGTTAGATTATGTTCCTAATCAGAAGAAACAAATGGATGTGTGAATGTTAGTGTTTAGCTTGCTCTCAACATTTTATACATTCCAGGATTCCTTGCCCAGGGAATGCGCCTGTCCACAATTAAAATGAGTCTTTCCACATCAATGAACATGATCAAGATTATTCCCCGTAGACATACCCACAGGCCCATCTTCCAGGTGATTGTAGATTCTGTCAGGTTGACAATTAATGATAGTTATCACAAGGACAAAGATGAGAATGATGTTAGGGCAGTCAAGCAGCCATAGGGCAGGACCCCTGGCCCAAAAGTTTCAGCTTCCTGACAGCAGCTATGTGGGAGATCATCTTGGAGGCAGGTGCTCCAGCCCTATTCAAGCCTTAATGACAGCAGGACTACTAAACTTTTTGACTGGCATCTCCTAGATCTGAACCACCAAGCAAGCTGCCACAGTTCATGTCATGAAACTATATGGATTCATAAATGCATTCACAAATGCATCTTGCATTGAGCCATTGGAGCTGGGGAATATTTAGTACACTGGAATACATTCACATACAGGGTATGTCTAGATATGGAAGCACACAGAGATGATAAGCTTGCATCACACATGGATGCAATGATGTAAGAGTCAGAGAGCCAGTGTGTGGAAGAGTCCCGACGCTCAACCAATGAGCACCAGAGGGCAAGGGGATGCCTCATGCTAGAAAGACAGTATTGCCTCTGACAGGGCAGTGGGGCCAATCCCTCCTTGGCTAGTAAACGGGCTGATTTTGCTTTATTGTAAGGTCATGCTTGGCAGCTACCTCCTTCACTTTCAACTTCCCATTTTGTCCCAGATTAGTTCCAGCATACAGTGAGCATCAGTCTCTCCATCCATCTTTCCATTGTATCCCTGCCATTTCTTTGCACTCATCTCCACTTTCAATCATGTAATTTTGATTAAACTGCCAATCATCATATCCCTCTGCCTCCCAGGCAGTCTTGTGACTTACGCCTGGCCAATCATAGTGTACGGTCAGTGACTGACTATAGTGATTGGGCCAAACAAATTGTGAATGGGGTTATGGGCCAATCAGAGACATCGCTTGGGATTTATAAATACCCTGTGAGGTGAGGGGAGCTGACACTGACAAGTGGCAGCAGAAAGCTTATCTTCAACAAACAAAACATCAGCTTCCAGAAAGTAGCGAAAGCTACCTCCTATTCCTTGTGACCTTGATGCCAGCTTGTCTTGAAAGTGACTCCACCCTTTCTGAACCTGCATGAGTCAAGTCAAGAGACTCTTATTGGAAGTGGGTTTCACTGGGTTTTCTGTCGCTTGTCCTTGAGCAGTTTATGGTTAGTTGGAAGGGTCTACCCTAGTTTGTGGGAGATGGCAGCACTCTCTCACTTTGCACCTGTCATCTGAAGAATTTGGAGCAGCACTGTCCAAAGGGTAAAGACCCTTCCCCCTTTCAGCCTGAGGAAGCATCTGTCTTTCCTGGAAGCCAGCATGGCCTGGGGAAATAAACTCAAAATAAAATAATGTAGTGATGGTGGGTGGTTCAGCCACAGTCCCAAACCTTAGTCATCTGTGTATCCTTTCTTTCCTTAGCTGCTCACCCCTCCCCCAGTTCTTGATGCTCACACATCCTGTTAGTCACCAGGTCCTGTTGATCTGGATCAAATGCTTGGTGGAAGTAGGTGGAGCAGCCATAATGGAAGTTAAATGACTTCTTCCTTGGGGGCATCTGGCAAGTCCAGGTTTACATCTTTATTTTATTGCTACCAGGGAGGACCACATAACTGGTCTCCCTACCCCTCAATTCAATCACTTGTTGGCTCTCCCTCCCATATTTCCTCCTGTTGCCACATGCTTTGACTGATGCAACTTTTCTTTTTTCTTTTCTTTCCTTTTTTCTTTTCTCTCTCTCTCTTTTTTTGGGGGGGGGGGATGCTCACTGTTCTGTTCCATGGCGGACTTCTCGGCTTAGTGTTCAAGACCCCCGTGAGCTCACTGGCATTCGCCAGCCATTCAAGGTCACTTTTGAATCTTACATTTCTCCTATTGCAGAACTTCCTGCCATCTACCTTACCTCCTTGCCCAGACAGAAGCCTAGTCTCTTCTCTGTGAGTTCTCAAGATTCTTGTCCTTATCTCAATAAAATGCCCTGAACATGCTGCTCCTCTATTTGTATCCACTTCCTTAAACCCAGAGAACCATTCTAAATTAGGGATTTTCAAATTTCATTCCCAGGGAGAATTTGAGCATAACAAATTGTGGGTATGTGTTACCCCACCCCAAAGTACTGGTTATGTTTTACAATTTGACTTAGCATATTACGCCAAATCTGGTTTCTTTCTTGCCATCCCTTTCCAAATTAAATTCTCAGTGTATGTAATTTGGTGGCATGCCAATTTACCCAACAACTGAGGCACATTCACATTTGTTTTGCTACCAGTTGACTTAGAGGTACTTAGTATTAATTGCATTATTTAAAACAGTAGCCATTGGGAAATACCCTAAGGGTTGTGCTAATTCCTACCATTTCTAACCAAATGCATGCCTGTATTTATCCCCCCACCTTCCCCATTTTCTCCTCACTACTTTAATACTGAATTTTCAGTTGATATTGGAACACAATGCTGTTTTGACATACCCCAACAAGCACTGATTCTGGATCTCTCTCCACCAGCAGTTGTGATAAAAGTTTGTGGTATTCAGACAAGCCCTTGTCATGCCCCTCTCCAGGAGGAGAAGTCAGGGTTCAGATTATGACATAACTCAGTTTTCCTGAGTTCCCTGGGGATGGACAGGCCACAATGCCACAGGTACATGCATCTTCCATGGTGCTCATACACGGGCACCGTTTAGAAAGGGCAACAGGTGATCTTCCCACTGTGCTGCAAACAGCAAATGACCGTAGGAGGATATAGCTTATTATGCCCATCATACATTTGGATCAGAAAAAGACAAGGTGGACACCGGAGCTTGTGTCTCCCTCCAATTTCAGAACAGTCTGTCCAGGTTCTGAGATAGCTGTGTTAATACATAAGGAGAAGCTTTTTAGCACAAGGGTGACCATACATAAAGGATTTTTTTTTTTTTTTTTTTTTTTAGAAAGAGATAACTTCCCCTATTCCTCCCCCTGGCTCTCTGTAGCCCAGTAGTAGTGGCAGCACCGTTGAGACATATAAGGAGCCCTCCTTCTCTTCCTGAGCTGCCCCTTCTCTTTCCCCTGGGATTCAAAGTCCATTGCGGGCTGGGTCTCACTGTTGGCGGTAGATACGTGCAGTTGGGTGGACTTTGGGAAATGTTTGTTGATTAACTGGTGATTGACTGGATAGTGGGGCAGGAAGCCTGCTTAAGGAGGGCCATCCCTGGCCCTAGTGGGAAGGGGCCACTATGTCCTGGCTTTCCATGGATCCTGTGGATGGGCCACTTCATCTCTCTTTTTAAAACCCATCCTGGAAACAAGGGCCCCTTTAGCTCCGAGGGACCAAGTCTCCTAAGACCTTGCCCAGTCCCCTCCTCTGGAAGAAGAGTAGAGTACCCCCGGAGCAAGAAGCAGGACCAAAGAGGGGCTCCCTTCCCTGCGACCTGCATGTAGAGACCTGCCTCCAAGACTCTCCTTCGCAGCTCGGGCAGGTCATGCGGGGTGGGCACCTGGCCGGGCACTCTCGGGGCCCTCTGGGGGCTCTCGGGGCTGCAAGCGCGCGGTCGGGCTCGGGAACGGTCTCGGGCTCGGCCCGCGGTGGCCGCCTCCCCCTCCGCCCCGGGGGCCGGGCCGGGCTCCTGGGAGGCGGGGACTCGCCCAGTGGCAGCAGCGTCCGGGCGGGCGGCGGGCGCGGGGTGGCTTCCTGCAGGCGGCGCCGGGGCGAGCCTAGCCCTGCATTCACTGGCCTTGAGACGCGGAGGGCCCGGGCGCTCGGGGGCCCCGTCCGAGGCTTGGGGCGCGCTGCGCAGCCGTCGGTCGCCGCTGCCCGCGCTTGTGTGTCGCTGCAATTGCCACGGCCGCCGCCGGTTACGCCAGCCCCGCCGCCGCCCGCTCCGATTCTGCGCACAGGCGGCCCCCAAGCCTGTCATTCTGCAAAAACACAGTTTACTCAACACGCCGCACACACACTCGCGCGCGCGCGCACACACACACACACACACACACACACACACACACACGCACACATACACACACACACACATACGCACACACACACACTCTCTCTCTCTTTCTCGCGCGCGCGCACACATACACGCACGCACACACGCGCTCACGCGCGCGCGTAGCCCGGGCCCCCCGCGCGCACACGCACGGGAGCGCGCGAGCGAGCAAGACGCGCACACCCGGCGAGCCAAGTTCCGCAGCCTGGCATGGCTTCTGGGGACCTTTACGAGGTACGGGGACGCCGGGGCGCGGGCGGCGCCGGGGAACCCGGCCGGGCCAAGCCGGGTGCAAGCAGAGTCCTGAGCCCTCGGGTGGCGGCGCCGGGGATCGGAGGGCGGCGGGGAGACTCGAGGGTGTCGGCGGACCCGAGGGTGGCGGCGGGGACCGGAGGGTGGCGGGGGCCCGGCGCGCCTCCCGCCGCCGCCTCCCGCGGCGCCCGCTCCCTCTTTCTCTTTCTCTCGCGCACACACTCTCTTACTCCATCTACTTTGCGGCCTTGGAGAGGGGAAGGAGGAAGCCGGGCGGAGCCGGGGCGGAGGGAGGGAAGGTAGCGGTCCCGGGGAGGTGCTTGCTCAGCCTCGACGAACCGCCCCAAGTGTGCAGAAAAGTACAGGTAAAAATAAATAAATAAATAAATAAATAAAAAAGAAAGAAAAAAAGAAAAAAAGAAAAAAGTCGCCGCCGGACGTGTGAGGGAATGCGGGGGGCGGCGCTGCGGACGGCTCAATTTAGGGGTGCCGAGCCCCCGGGGGTGCGCGGGTCTCGGCTGGGTGGGGAGGAGAAGATGGGTGATTGCAGCTGAGCCAAGCTCTTGGGGAGGGGGAATGCAAAGGAGACGAGTGCCAGGGCGTGCGGGCTGGGGAGGGGGTGTGCTCAGGGAACACCACTCTTGCCATTCCACGGGGGCCACTGAGTGCCTTCCCCCCTCCCCCCACCTGCTGCCTAGTGCCCCCCTTCTCTGGGCTCAGAAGCTCTCCTTGCAGGGTCTTGGGGACAGTCTCTGCTGGTGTCAAGATTCACAGGGTGAAAGGGGAGCCTCAGAGGGAGCCCCTAGGTGGAACGTGGAAGTTGTATGCTGGTGGTCAGACTTGTCAGGAGACATGAATGTGAATTCTGCTTCCAGCACTCTCTAGCACATTTAGGGGATAATACTTGCCTCCAAGGCCACACAGGTAGCATGGACACTGAATTATTTTGAAATTGGTTCAAAATGTAAGAAGAAGACATCCATCTGTCATCTTTTGAACAATAGAGAAATACCCAAACTCTCTGGGGAGAAAGGGCTTAGCTAGCCTTGGGACCACAACTGTTCTTGCTTGGGATTTGGACCATTGGACAAACAAGAAGCCACCACCAATCCCAGGGGAGGATGCCCTCAGAGGTGGTTCGTCTCAAGAGAAGGTTCTGAATAAAGAAGCCAAAGGGACTGGCCACCCTCTACGAGGAGGCCTGCAGATACTGAAAGAAAACAGTCTCAAGGGCCACTTTGGGCTTCCCATCCCACCCAGTGAATCAGTCATAGTAGCTGCCATTTTTAAGGTTGTCCTCTAAATTTCCATGTAGTTCTAGAACAGGTTGAGTTAACCTTTTGAATAAGAGACTGTAGTGGTAATCTACTGTAAGCTTGGTCCCTGGACTCTCTTGGAAGCCCAAGCTTCCCAGATGGCAGATTTGCTGCCTGGTGTGAGAGGAGAATGGAAGACAGACCAGTGGGCGTCTTGGCTTCCTGAGTATCCAGAGCCTTTGGGATGATTGATGAGGCTCAGGTGGGATCCACGTAAAAAGAAATTGTACCCCATAGTCTTCCTTATCCTTGTGCTGATAGAGAAGCCAAGGTTGGATAGAAACCTGATGAGAAGCTGACAGATGTGGCCCGTGAGGCACCCAAATTCATCACTGTTTTTCAAGATGGTGGGGCAGTTTCTGAAACGAAAAGTCAAAACACAGTGAATTGAAAGTGTTTGACCAAGCTCCCAGAAGTAAAACCAGCCCTCCCAGAACACTGCCAGAAAGTGGATGCCATTTAGAGACAAAACTGACCTGGTTGGGGTCATGAAGTTTTCTCATCGTTGGTGAGTTCTCTTAGGGTTGATGACTGTGTCTAGATGACAAGTGGCCTTTTGAAGACAGGAAGTGGACATCATTGGAGACATTAGTATTTCTCATTTAAAGTCTGAAACTTAAGAACCTTCTGGGGATAATTTCTTGTCTAATGTTCATCTGAAACTGCCATTCTTAACTTTGCTAATTATAGTCACCAGTCTGTGAGGATGGGAGTTTCCACAATGGCCTTCAACTATCTTAGCAACTCAAGAGTGCTTATTGTAGTTCAATAAGCAGGACAATAATAACAATTACTTCTGTGGTGGTAGGTAATTGTATGAGATATAAAATGGTTTTCCTGTGGCCGATTATTTGCACAGCCATTACTAGAAGGGCTAAATTGCATTATGAGACTATAACCAAAGTCAACATTTTTATAGCCTGTGCCTCCATTACATACCATAGACTGAGGGATTTAATTGGTTGTTCAAATTTAACTTAAAAACCAGTAGTGCCAAGTGTACCTCAGTATATATATTTCCAGCTGTAAAACTGTTGTGTGCATTAAAAATAGCCTGTTGATTAAAAAAAATCTGGGCATATTCAGTGCAGTTACAGACCTTAAAGGAAATAAAAAACAGACATTTCTTTCTATATGATGCTATTTCCTTAATTAAATATTATCCTTGAGTGTATGTAAAATGGCTTATCATAACCTTTAACCAATAAACCACATTTTGAGTGGGCTAGGAGTGATGACCTTTGTAATATATGTTCCACCTGGGTGCCTGCTGACATTACCTTTGACCCTTTATGGTGAGGAAAAGGTTTGGATTGCAGAGACTCACCTTCTCTTTGGTGATTTTAGAGACCTCAGTTATAAAGAGCAAGCCTTCCCCGGAGAGTTCTGCTAAGGAGTTGGGTACTGATTTTAAAGACACCAGAATATGAGTTTTGTTTATGTGATGATGCTCTTCAGTCTTGGCGAGGACACCTGGAGCAATCTGTGTTCTGAAGTTTGGATTTTGATGGATTATTCTGTTTTGTTTTGACACCAGAGCCCTCACCCTTTTATGATGCATCATACCAGCTATCATGTATATGAGGGTTATTTCAAATATTGATTGATGTCTTAGGGCAGTGGCTCTAACCTTCCTAATGTCTTGACCTTTTAATACAGTTCCTCATATTGTGGTGACCCCCAACCATAAAATTATTTTCATTGCTATTGAAAAACTGTAATTTTGCTACTGTTATGAAATGTAATGTAAATATCTGTGTTTTCCAATGGTCTTAGGTGACCCCCATGAAAGGATTGTTGCACTCCCAAAGGGGTTGTGGCCCACAGGTTGAAAACTGCTGTCTTAGAGCCAGATATGTCTGGATATAAAATGTAATTCCCCCAGATGAGCTACTAAACATATGAGACATCAGAAATAGTTGTGAGACAGCTTTAGACTGTGATGTGTGTGTGTGCCTTGCCTCATTGATAATTATGAAAAATGTCATTTAATACCTTCAGCTGGAGCAGAACATGTTGTTTGTCTTTTTTCTACAATGCTCTTTATACAGAAACACTCATTTCCTTTTATGTTTATACTATAAATCTGGATCTAGAAGATATTAGAGTTTTCCATCCCTGGAGTAGTCAATCATTTGCTAAGATGGTTGGGTATCAAGAATACATCATCTGTGGCACAAGGAAGCCAATTATCTTGCCTTTTTCTTGCTCCCTAGCTCCTCACACATTTACTTACTCATGACTCTTTATCAGTGAACAGAAAACTGGGTTCAGTAGACACAGAGCACATTGAGTGGTCTTTTGGCATTCTTATGTTGAGTTAACTATTTTTCTTCCCCAGTCCATGATCTTTTGGTGATGGTAATACCATGTTGAAGGCAGGGGTTTTCTCAGGACAACTGATCAGCTCTATCTCACCAGCTGCTCCCAAATAATCACATAGAGACTTAATATTAATTATAAATGTTTGACTGATAGCTTAGGCTTGTTTGCTTCCCTTTTTTTTTTTTTTTTTTTTTTTTTTTAGGTAACTCTTATAACAACTTAAATTCACCCATTTCTGTTCATCTATGTGTTGCTCCAAGGCTCATTTACCTATGTACTTCTCATCCTGCTTGCTCTGTTTCATGGTGTCTCTTCCTGATCGCTGAGACTCTGCCCCTGACCTTCCCAGCATGCTCTCTGCCATTCAGCCATGTCCTAGTTTTGTTTCTGTTGCTAAGATTAAATCCACCAAATCAACTTGAGTGAGGAAAGATACCTTTCCATATTACCCATCATTGTGAGGAAAGCCAGTGTGGATTCTCAAAGCAGGAACCACAGGGCAGGAACTAAATAAACCAAAGACAGTGAGGAATGCTGCTTACTTACTGTCTTGCTCCCTATGGTTTGATCAGCATTTGATCAGCATTAGCTTTCTTTCTTATTTAGTATAGTTTCTGACCTTAAAAGAAATAAAAAAGACATCTCTTCCTACAGGATAGTGTTTCCTTAATTCAATATTATAATTAAGTTTATATAAAATGGCTTATCATAACCAATAAGCTTCTTAGCTTCTTTTTTCTTTTTCTTCTTTCTTTCTTTCTTTCTTTCTTTCTTTCTACCTTTCTATCTTTCTTTCTTTTTTTTTGCATAGTCTATGAGTGATGACCTGTTTTATACAACCCAAGACTATTGTCTTCCCAGGAGTGGAACAACCCACACTGGGCTGAGCCCTTCTACATCAAACACAATGCCTCACAGGCATGCCCACAAGCCAGTCTGTAGTAGGCAACCCCTCAATTGCAGTACCCTTTCCCCAGGTAACTTTAGTCTGTGTTGAGGATGACAAAATATACATAACACACACCATGAATAGGGTGGCCCCAGTTCTTTATCTAGAATTGTACCTTGGTTCCTTTTAGAAAAACTGACTATCTTCCCTCAGAAGGGTGGACTGCATTCAAATCTCCACCATATGGCTTTCCTTGACGTTGAGTGTTGTCTCACATCCCTTGCCCTTGCCTAGTTGACATGAAGGTCAAGGTACCTACCTTGTTGGCAAAATTGTTCAAAGAGGATACTTCGTATGTGAAGTGGCTGAGACGACACTTACTGTGCTGGGGTCTGTGTGTTGATGCTTCCCAAATCTCTGTCTCCAAACAATGGCTGTATCTTTCTGGGTGG